ACAAAGAAGTAGTATTGGGAGGAGAAAAGCAGGGGACCACATGCAGCCAAAGTTATAAACTGATGAGTCAGAGAGACCCGTGGTTTCCATCGCAGCTCCAACACCAGAACTCTGCACATCATCAAGGAAAACCTCGGGATCCACAAAATTAAACGAACAGACCCGTAAGGCTGAAGTTTAGCATTCTGGGGGAACTTTTAGATTGGCAGGTCTCTTTAGATGAATTATAATCACAGACTTCTGTTTACATGAATTTATCCTACAAGCATCAACATCATCATAAACACCTCAAGGTGAACTTTACTTTTTAATAAGAATTACTTTTTTTTTTTTTTTTTTGCGGTACGCGGGCCTCTCACTGTCGTGGCCTCTCCCGTTGCGGAGCACAGCCTCCGGACGCACAGGCTCAGCGGCCATGGCTCACGGGCCCCGCCGCTCCGCGGCATGTGGGATCTTCCCGGACCGGGGCACGAACCCATGTCCCCTGCATCGGCAGGTAGACTCTCAACCACTGCGTCACCAGGGAAGCCCGAGAATTGCTTTAAAATAGGTTTATATAAGAACTCTTAAGTATCAAACACTTAATGAAAAATGTTCCCCATCCTCAGCTACCCACAGTGGACTCTAGAACTGGGCCTCACAATCTCCATTTCACGCTTCTAATTTGTGAAGAGGCTAGAAAGCTAAAAGGCTCCCTTGAAGGCAAGGGACTGGATATCAATGAGGTCGGCCAGTGGTCTGCACGTGGAAGGCACAGCGCAGCAGAGGCCATCTTTCTACAGTCAGGGCAACCGACAAAAACATCTAACAGATACTGGCTGCAGCAGCCTCAGTCCTGGTTCTCCGATCAGTTCAGGGGGAGAAGCAGCACGGCAGTGGTGGCAGGGGCAACAGCGTGTGCCCTTGAAACCAGAAGTCCAGTAGTGGCTCCCTGACTTTTGTTCCTCCAGCCCTTTCAACGATGCCGTGAGCGGCCTCTTAATAGAAATTATATGACAGCTACGGTGGTTCTGTTTCCTGCCCTATGGTCTGACTTACGGTACATTCACATTAAGAGAGTTCAGGTCCTCTTACACTCTTGCCGGGACCACTGTTACAACCAGGTGACTTGCCAGCCAACTCTCACCACTCCAGCTCTTCCTCTGACCTGCCACCACCAAAGCTGAGCATACTTAAAAACACTTTACCTAAAAAAGGGTTGTACGGAAACCTCTCATGTGGTTTTATATACCTGACTGTGCCCTTTAATTCCTTCTCCACCTGGTAGATGAAGTCCCACCCACGTTCAGAGCCAGATCAAAGGAGACTGCTTCTGGGAGTCTTTCCCAACGGGTTGGTCTTCATGCCCAAATGTGCGCTCGCGTCCGCACACCTGCCGCCTGCCCTCAGCTCCGTGCTCATTCACATCCACTCTTTCAAATGATATTTGCTGAGTCGCATGAACTACTATATGTCACCCACTGTGCCAAGGGCTGGGCCTACAAGGCAAAACAAGACAGACGAGGTCTCTTCCCTCTTAAGCTACAACCCAACCCCTCATTTCCCAATAACTACCCAAATAATGTTTAATCACAATTGTGGTAAGTGTAATAAAGGACTCAGGGTGCGTCTCACATGTATAAGCGGAAGCCTCGCCTAACCTGGGAAGATCAAGGAGAATCCTTTCCCTTAAAGAGACATTTAAGCAGAAACTGGAAGATAGGTAAACTGACCAGGTAAAAACTTGTTAGAGAGCTTCCTAGGCAGAAGAAACATCATGTGCAAAGGCCCTGACACAGCATTCTAGGAGTTGTGAAGACAACCAAGGCACAAAAGTCAGGGTGCAAGGAGAAGAGCAGTCCAAAGTGGCAAGGGCGGCACTCCTCACAACCACTATTCTAACACTGGGCACACTGTTTTGGAATTATTCATGCGCAAAAATGCAGCCCCTACTAAAAAAGCTCCTTCAGGTCTTAGGAACACGTTCAGTCCTCTAATCCAATACAGCGCGCAGCAGTGTGTCCTCAAGTCAAGATGTCTGGAGTGAAGAAATGAGTGGGTGATCTGGGCCAAGAGCTTAACCTCTCCACACCAGGCAGTCTCTAGGGTTCAAACACCTTCTGCTTCTGACCCCCCAAAACTTAGACACATTTTCATGCCAACCCGTAAGTGCTCAGAATCAAAGCTAGCATTAACCACAAACGAAACTTTAAACGCTGAAAAGTAAACTTTTAAGTCGGCAAGGGTCTGGCTCCAAATCCTCACGGCTCCGTGAAGCGCCACCAACCGGCAAGCAACAGAATTGCTTTCAAACTCCCACAGAGCCCCAAACGAGGCCAGGGAGAGGAAGGGCAGTACCATCTACCTGTCCTATTCTCCAGTCTCTCAACAGATTTTCTAAGAGTAGGACCAAGAGCAGGAAACTGGCACCTATGCCATCCTTTTCTCCTTCCTTACCTCCCAAATACTATCAAAGCACACACTGGTGACTCAGTAAGAAAATTCCACAACCCAAATGACAGACTTCTGCTGGTTAGTAAAAGGCAACAGAATAGGGCGATCTCTAGCCCTAAACTTTAGCTCTGGTACAAAGAACTGTGGAGGAAGCATTCTTTTTAAGAAAGAAAATTGAATTAACTGGGAAGTGGCTTCAAAGTATATGAAAAGCTTGATATAGTTTATTAGGCAGTGAGGAGAACATCAATTCATATATACAATATGGAACTGCTTTACAATAACTGAGCTGTAAAATAAGACCTTTAGCATGTCTTTTAAAAGTACATATATGGGCTTCCCTGGTGGCACAGTGGTTGAGAGTCCGCCTGCCAATGCAGGGGACGTGGGTTCGTGCCCCGGTCCGGGAAGATCCCACATGCCGCAGAGCAGCTGGGCCCATGAGCCGTGGCCGCTGAGCCTGCGCGTCCAGAGCCTGTGCTCCACAGTGGGAGAGGCCACAACGGTGAGAGGCCCGCGTACCGCAAAAAAAAAAAAAACAACAATAGTACATATAATCAGAATTCCACTATCTACATGTACTGTGTCACCTGGCATACATAGTAATGGATCCAAAATCATGTAATAAGCCAAGAATTCCACTAAGAGAGCTCCCTAATGGAGCTGGATCACACCAAAGACTCAAAAACTTTACAAAATACATTTACTCATAGCAACTGCCCAATCATGTCATTTTTTTCAATTATGACAACTATGAAATCAAGTCTCATTCAACCAACAAGTAGTTTGAACCGTAATGTTTTCCCCTGAAGGATCAAGATAAAACAGTGAAATAATTTAGATCATTTTAAAACTATTCTAGATTTATCAGCAACAGGAAAAAGTGGTGACCTTTCTAAATCATGACTGTGGTGGTCACGCCTTTCACAGCACATCCTTGAGCACTTGGTACTACTCTCTTCTCTCCCACCTTCTCCACTTCTCAAACACAAACAAACCCACAAACAGAAGACCAAACAAAACTAAATAAAAAAGACATCTATTCAATACATATCTGCTGACCTCAGTGGCAATCCAACTAGTGAGCAAAACTAACGCTCCCTATGCCTCCGGTCAGAAGAAGTAACGTTTTGGTCCTAATTTGAGAAGTACCTGATTCTCCTTCTCCCACCCCAAAAAGAATAAATGGAAATGTCAACATGTGGTAAATAATGGCTTTTTTAAACCTATAAATTATTTTAGGAAGCATTAGTTAAAATCTGATTTTACAAAATACCTTTTGGCGGAAAGAAACTCGAACAAAAATTATTTTTGAATGATTTCTATACATAAAGGAAAGTAACTGCTGAAACTTATTCAACTTTTAATGAAGAGATGTAATGCTTACTAGCATCTCTATCTAACTATCCTACTTATTACTCAAAATGCATACTATAAAACCTCAGCTCCTTCCTTTTTCGGGCCTTTCGAAGGCCCATTTTCCAGGGTTTTACTAGTGCAGTGGTAAGTGAGCAACTGAGCCTCAGTACCGAACAGTATTCCCCGAAAACCACACACATAATCAATATCAGGTAAACAAATATTAGTGCAATAGTCAGGCGTTTCCAACTCATCACCTGAAAGGTAAATATAAGGTTGGTCCAATCGACCTACTAGGATATTGAAAAGTGCTCATCAAATGGTCCAGTTGCAGTCTGGCCACGGGACCTCCCAGTAGCCCAGGAGCTGTAGTAGAGGAACCTGCCGATGCTGTGTGGCTGTCTCATCAAACATTACCTGCCCACTGAGACGTGACTTGTTTGTACACTATCGAGGAAGAACAGGAAAGCTTCAGGAAAGGTCTAGGCCAAACAGTGCAGAAATCTTCAATGACGTTCCCAAAGGCTGACTGCTGCTCTGGAGAACCCCCGATCTATCACCAAACCAACCAAACCTACATATAAGCAAGATTTTACTGCCAAGCCGTAGGACAGGTTTGTTTTTAAAAAACTCTGAAACATTTTTCCCGTGAGATTACTTATAAGACATTAAATATACATCACATCTCCAAAGCCAAAACATACAGGCTAAAAATAGCGCCTCTATTTCAAAGGCTGAGGCAAAAGCCCTCCAACTGAACAAACTAAAATTAGGTTCTTCTCGTCTCTGCATCTTGAAACTGCACCTTTAACGTTTAAGGGGCATACAAACCAGTGTCCACATATATACTCCCCCCAGCTAGGTGGTCGGAGAGAATCGAATTAAAGGCTTCAGGAACAGAAGCCCAGCGTCCAAGAGACTCACATAATGAAATTCCTCCTGGTTCCGGCTAAAAGCCAGACTAGAACACACTACGGATGAATTCCGACCCTCATCGCCCGCCCAGGCTGCCGTACTCGGTGCGCTCCGACCACCGCACCGTCAGCCCTGCCCCGGGCGCCCAGCGCCGCAGCCCGAGCGCAGGACGCGGCCCGCCCGGCGGCCCCACCCGCAGAGGCACCTGCCCGGCCGCCCGCTCCGGCCGTGCCCGGGTCGCCGGGGCGTCGCTGAGGGGCCCCGACCCCGCCCCGAAGGCCACGCCGCGCTACCTTTAGCCTCGCAGTCGGCGCAGTACTTGTTGTCTTCCTCCCTCAGCAGCTTGGACAGGATGAGCTGGTGCTGCTCGTTCAGCTTCTGCGCCTTCTCCCGGCACGAGCGAGTCGCCATCGCGGCGGCGGGGCGGACGCGGGTGCGGGCCGCGCAGCTGGACACGCCGGGCGCCGCCGAGGCCGCGAGAACTCGGCCGTGAAGCGGCGGCGGCGGCTGGAACAGGAGGAGGGGCGGCAGCAGCGGCGACAGCGCCGACGTTAACCCGCCTCCTCACCCGGCCGGCTCCGCACCCACAGCCGAGCCGGCGAGGGGGAGGAGTCGGGGCCGAGGCTTCCGGGCGGCGCCGCCGGAAGGAAGGAACGGGCGCCGGCGCTCTGCGCATGCGCCGGGCCTCCCGGGAAACGGGCCAGACGGGTGCTTTCGTTCCGGGCCTGCGCCCACGTTGTTCCGGGAAGACGCGGCGTGCTGCCCGCGATGGGCTTCCCCGCTTTGCAGATACGGTTATCGCTGGGGGCCTCGGGTCCGACCCGCTAAAGGAAGACCTTTCCATGTGCTTCCTTGCCTCTGCTCTTGCGGCACGACATTGGAAAGGCAGAAATAATAAGTTATCGGGTGGATTCTTTCATGCATTCAACGTTTCTTCACGGGCACTTTGGAAACCGGCACCGGCCTAGAAGCTAGAGACCCGCATGGAATCAAATAGACAAAACCGCCTCTTACATTGTAGGGGATGTGACGTGTATTGAGGGCCAGCGTTGATTGATGATCATTCTGTGCCGCGAACTGTTAAGTCGTCTAATCCTTTTAACAGCCCTCTTGATAGTGTTTTCCTCGTGGTGCAGACGAGGACCGTGAGGCCCGGAGGAGTGAGGGCACGTGGCCAGGTTACAAGCTGCTGCTTGCAGGAGCTGAGGTTCAGACCCAAAGCAGTAAGGCCTTCCTCCCACAAGGAGGGGAGGGAGCGTGGCCGTGGCACCAAGGGCGCTGGGCCGTGACGCTTTAAGGAGAAGCTGGATCAACAGTGACCTTTAGTGCAAGAAGAAGAACACTAGGGAAAGAAGACACTCTTGATTGGAGCCCATAGCTGCCCAGTTCAGGCCCGTGGGATATGAACCCTGGGTGAGGGAGGGTGAAGGTTTTGGCGTGTTGTGGCTTATTAGCAATTTCTAACATGGGGCTTATGGGTCTTGCCTGTGGTGGGGCAGACGCTAAGAAAGGCCCTGGGCAGGAATCTGTGCATTATAGGGCCATTTCCTAGCCCAGGCCCTGCAGAAAGGTGACACCACTTCCCCCCACCCCGCCCCAGTGCTCACCTAGCCCCATTTCTGGCACAGAAAAATGTTTGTGGAATTACATTGAATGGTGATGGCAGTGCGGATGCCGAGTAAATGAACAAATTACAGCTTAAACTGCATGGCTCTAACAAATAGTAACTAGGAGGACATCAGGGTGAGTGCCAATAAACAGAAAAACACTCATGTGGGAGGTGGAAGTCAGGAGCCATGTCTTGAAGGCTGGCTTGATTTAGAAGGGGGCCAGGGAGGGAGATTCTGTGCAAGACCAGCAGACGCAGAAACATGAAGACTTCAAGTAGCTTGGAAAACAGATGCGAGGACAGGGTGCTACTTAGGATAAGTGAGAGACGAGGCCGGCTAAGTCAGGTGCAGCAGGATTGAAGGAGGCTTACCACACCAGACAAAGCAACCTGGCCTCGACGCAGTTCACAATAGAAAACCTATAGGTTCTTCAACTAGGAGAGTAGCATGGAGGAAAAGGGGGGAGGGTGTTTTGGGAAAGTCAGTCCAGCAGTAACCAGTTAACAAACATTATTTTTTAGTGTCTTTTCCGCCAGAAAATTCCCCCACTGCAAGGATTCAGAAAAGAAAGAAGAAAAAAAAGACAGGCTTACCACCAAGAAATGATCTACATGATGGATTGAAGGGGTACAGAAATGTCTAATAGAAATATGATGCATGCCACATATGTACTTTCAAATATTCTAGTAGCCACTTTAAAGATAGAAAGAGGAACAGGTGACATTAACTTTAATAGTACATTTTATTTATTCCAGTGTATCCAAAATACTATCATTTCAACATGTGAGTAATTTAAAAAATTATTAGTGAGATATTTTTACATTCTCTTTTTCATATTGTCTTCAAAATCCAGTGTGTATTCTACACTTACAGCTCCTTTCAACTTGGACTAGCTGTACTTCAGGGGTTCAGTGGCCACATGTGGCTGGTGGCTATATGATTGAACAGCCCTGCTCTAGCCGGTGAGCCCAGAGGCATGAAAAATCTAACTTCAGGTTGATTGCCTTTTACAGACGTAGTAAGAAGAACAGAAAAGAAAAGAAGAGACTGGTACCAAAAACAACTTTGCGTTCACATATCAACATTTATTAAACAACTTTTATTCAGTTCTCTGACCATCAGATGCTTACAGTCTATCTAGGGTGAGAGACAAACATGTGAATAGAAGAATGAAGAGCCACATTGTAGTCTGCAGCAAATCTAAAGTGCCCTGGGAGCCAAAGGAGCAGAACAGCAGGAGAGGAATTGGAAGAATTGGGGAAGGCTTCGCCAAGTACGTGATGCTTAAACTTGGTTTTAACAGATATAGGAAGTTTTCAAGTGAATAGCGGTAGAGAGGAGGAAAGGGGACAGTTCGAAACAAAATATGTATGGAAAGTGCACCGTCTGTGCTGGAAGCAGTGGGCCTGGGAGGGACAGTAACCTAGCATGTGAATGCAGGAAACGAATCAAGGTGAAGATGGGCCAGGAGGTTAAGAGCTTTGTAGCCAAACAACATAGTTGGAATTTTTCCCTCTGGGCTTACAGAGCCTCCAGAAGCATTTACACTGAGACCTGACTAGCTTTGTTTTCTGTAACGACAGTGGCAAGCTAGAGAACGTGGATGGGAGAAAATGTTATCAGGACAACAGATTACAGACCGGGTTGCAAAAACAGTCCAAAGAAGATATGCTGAGCCTATTTTAAGTAGCATAGAGTTTGGGAGAGACAGAATAAAATGTTGCTTCAAAATTAGAAGCATCAAGATTTGGCACCTGTTTGTAGGGGTCGAGAGGAAGCAGGTGAGAAAAACACTGAGGTTTCTAAGTCGGGAGACAGGTACACGGTAGTGCCGTTAAGCCAGCTCAAAATAGAAGGGACGGCACAGATTTGGGGTCGGAGGAGAAAAGTTATTTGCTTGAGGCTGTGTTCAGTTTAAGGTGTCCCTAGGTCTAATGGGACTCCGCATAGCTACTTCTAGAGCTCTGTCTAAAGAGAAGCTGGCGCTGGTCATTGGGTGTCATCTGTACTTAAATGGTAGTAGGAGCCGTAGGGTAGATGAGATTCCTTGGGAGAAAGAGTGTAGACAAAAGAGTCCCGGGACTTCCCTTGTGGCGCAGTGTTTAAGAATCTACCTGCCAGGGCTTCCCTGGTGGCGCAGTGGTTGAGAGTCCGCCTGCCAATGCAGGGGACGTGGGTTCGAGCCCTGGCCCAGGAGGATCCCACATGCCGCGGAGCAACTAAGCACATGTGCCACAACTGCTGAGCCTGCGCTCTGGAGCCCGTGAGCCACAACTACTGAGCCCGTGTGCCACAACTACTGAAGCCCGCACGCCTAGAGCCCGTGCTCCTCAACAGGGGAAGCCACTGCAATGAGAAGCCTGTGCACCACAACGAAGAGTGGCTCCCGCTCGCCGCAACTAGAGAAAGCCCGCGCGCAGCAACGAAAACCCAATGCAGCCAAAAATAAATAAATAAATAAATAAATAAAATTTATAAAAAAAAAAGAAAAAAGAATCTACCTACCAATGCAGGGGACACAGGTTCGATCCCTACTCCAGGAAGATCCCACATGCCGCGGAGTAAGTAAGCCTGTGCGCCACAACTACTGAGCCTGCACTCTGGAGCCCGTGAGCCACAACTACTGAGCCCACGTGCCACAACTACTGAAGCCCGCACGCCTAGAGCCCGTGCTCTGCAACAAGAGAAGCCACCGCAATGAGAAGCCTGCGCACTGCAACAAAGGGTAGCCCCCGCTCGCTGCAACTGGAGAAAGCCCGTGTGCAGCAACGAAGACCCAACACAGCCAAAAATAAATTTAAAAATAATAATAATTTTATTTTTTAAAAAAAGAGTCCCAAGGACAAAACGCTGGGGATGGCCAGCTAAATGAGTGGACAGAGAACGGTGAACCGTTGAAGAGAGAGGTGAAGTGCGGCCAGGAGGAGAACCAGAGGCCATGGGAGGAGGGGTTTCTGAGAAGTAAGGGTGCACACGAATGCCAGCTGCTCCGAAAAAGTCACTTATTTCAGTTTCAGGCAACACACACAGCATGGAGTTGCAGGTCTGTACCGTTCACTGTCTTCCTGCATAACTGGCCGTTAGCCAGGAACAAGAGAAGACAAGTGGTCTGCTGAGGCTCCCCAGGGGGCTGTGACTGCCTGGTGTTTCAACAAACTGTTGAGGTAGGGATGGAGATGGTTAGAAGGGAAAAGAAAGGAGAAGAAGATGTAGGTTCATGGGTAGGAAGCAGTGCTAGCATGAACCGTGGAGGGTGCAGGAAGTGAGGTGTCTGAGCTGAGTGTGGGGGCAGCCGAGTGACCACAGGCTCCTTGGGGCCAGAGGTGATCAGGCGTCCTTAGGAGATGGACGCTGACAGCCGGAGAAGACAGTGTCTATGACAGCTCTCAGGGAGGAACAGAACTGGTACTGATGGCGTCTAGGACGTCACGGTGTCTGTGGATGCTTGGTGGCTGGGGAGTGAGGTGAAGGTTTGTTTCTGCAGATTCTTAGAGAGGGGAGGTCCCTTTCAGCTCTAAAATTCTGTTTCCAGTTGGAGGAAAAAAATGCGAAACTATCTAGAGAGTCTGAACACCATGGAGCCAGTGTTCCACAGTAAAAGAGGGAAAGTGGCAGGGTGGGGAAGTGAATCTGGCTGGAGCACCATGGGCGAGAGGGAGCCGCGTGTGAGGTGCGGGTGGAGGGTCTGCTATGAGCCGTGAGGACGGGATGAGAGTAGTAAGAGCCACTGGGCACTGATAATCCCCACACCAACCATGGCGGTAAATCCTACCATCTCACTATGCGTACTGGGAAGCATCAGCCAGGATGGGCGAATTCACGCCGAGCAATAAATAACCCCCAAATCCTAATGACTGCAAACAACATGGTGATGCCACGTGTGACTCGGGTTGGCGGGAACTGTGCTCCTCACTCAGGGACCAGACGACTCTGTCATCTTTCAGGGAAAAGGCAAGACGGCA